GAGTGAGAGTATTTCTCGGGATTCAGAGAGACGAGGTGTAGAGCCAGCCTTTGGATATTTGAACATGCTTGGAGAGACTAGAAGGGTATAATAAGGATGTAACTAATGTTTTATGTTTACAGCTGATGACATTCAGAGAGTTAGATCTGATGGTGGATGGTTCCCCCAGGAACAGAGCTGGGCATCTTCCACCACCGTGGGACTTTCTGTCCTTCTGCTGGAAGCCTCTTCTACTCACAGAGGAGAGCCCTCCTCTTGACTGATGGCCTCCATAAGTAGCATGTTTGAGTGAGGCTATCCTGATGACGTCACCTGGCATGCTCTGTCCCTACTCCTGGGAGTCAATGGGCAATGTGGGATATAATGCAAGTACAGAGGTTTTGTTTTTTGTTTTTTGTTTTTTTTTTTTTACTGTGTCTGGTCTCAGCTGGAAATATCACTGTATATCCAGGTATAACCTTAAAATCCTAATCTTCATGCTGCTTATTCCTTGGTGCTGGGATTATAGACATGTATGGTATAGCATATATGGTTTTATGCATGCTAGGGATTGAACTCAGGGCTTTGTGCATACTGGGCAAATATTCTCATCAATTGAGTGACATTCTCACCTTCCTGAAAAATATCATTGTTTATTAAATTATGCCTAAAATGTTGTGTAAACTGTTGATCTCTGGCTGTAAACTACTGATTCCTTACCTGAAAGCCTATGCCACTGGCTTCCAATCCCGGTTAACTAAGGTGACAGGTGAAATGCATGACTCTTCCTAAGCAGCCAGTAATCCATTAGTTATTTGTACCCCTGTTTTGCTTGGTTACATAGGTACCTGTGTCCCTTTATCCTGTCACCCGAGGCTGGGGGATGTGGACCCAGGGCTGGCTCCGGAATTCACTTGGGGAAGTTGAGCTGGTTACAGCTAGAAGGCTTTGTGATCTTTGGGACCATCCATGTGTTGTTGACCCCATGGGGGCCTTTGAATGTGTTGGACACTAAAGAGGGTGATGCAATGGTAATGATGATTTTAAGATATGGATGAGGACTGGAGAGGTGACTCAGTGGAGAAAGTGCTTGCCACACAAACTTGAGGACTGGAGTTCAGATTCCAGAACTGTGTAAAAGCCACGCAGGCATGGTGGCAGCCTCTAATCTCAGCACTCTGGAGGCAGAGACTGAGGATCCCTGGGGCAAGCTGGCTAGCTCAATAAGCTGACATTGGTGTTCAGGGACAGACCCTGCCTATCTGAATGAAGTAGAGAGCTATTGAGGAACATACTGGTCATTAACTTTCCCCATTCATGCCTCCCTCACACTGTGTGTGTGTGTGTGTGTGTGTGTGTGTGTGTGTGTGTATACTCACATACATGTGAATATGCATATATGTGCATGAAAATCACACACACATACACAGGAAAGGAAGGAAGAGGGAGAGGAAGGAAGAAAGATGAAAGGGTGAGAAGTCAGAAGGCCTGAGGAGAGTTGCGCCAGCTTGCTTCCACACTTCAAACTTTCTCCATCCACAGAAAGGCTTGATTTCTCTACTTGGGAGTAAGAAACATTGGTGGTTTAAGATGGTCATGTGAGCATACATGACGATATTGGTCAGTAGTTTTAAATTGGAGTTACTCTTTAATGTTAGTTATTTTCCCCACCCTCCCCCTAGGATGCAGAATGCTTGACCTTGTAACAACTCAGCCATCTGTAGTTGTCATGACTACCATGTCTTCCCGGGACCCCAGGGGGCTGTGTCCTGAGATTCGATTGGGGTGAATGATAAGTTACCCATGGTCCAATCACAGTTACTACTGTGTGCAAAGCAGCCACTGTAGACAGCAGCATTTTAGGTGGAAGCTACTGGAACTCACTGCTTTCCCATGGCAGCCTCTACTCCAGTGGTCCTGAAGTATGGTGTGAGAAGATGTGGGGGGCATCCTTTCTGAGGGGTTCCAGGACTTGACTGTGTCACTCAGAATATTTCTGAGCAGTGGGTTGTGCAGCTGGCAGGAAGGGGGTGGCAGGGCAGGTGCACAAGACGCTGTTTCAGGTGATTGCTAGGAAGGTGTGTTCTCCAGGGCAGTGTTTCTCAGCCTTCCTAGCGCTGTGACCCTTTAGTACAGTTCCTCATGGTGTGGTGACACCCAACCACAAAATTATTTCATTGATACTTCACAACTGTAATTTTGCCACTGTTATGAATTGTGATGTAAATGTTTGATATGCAGGATATCTGATCATGCAACCCCCCCCCCAAAGGGGTTGTGACCCACAGATTGAGAACCACTGCTCCAGTGGGGACAATTTCCAGCTTCCTCCAACTAAAGTCTAGTTCATTTGATATATTACTGCAATTCACCTGTCTTAGTTGCTGTTCTATAGCTCTGATGAAATACCATGACCCAAACAGCTTATTAAAGAAAGCATTTAATTAGGGAATTGCTTAACGTGTCAGAGGGTTAGTCCGTGATTATCGTGGTAGGGAGTGTGGTCAAGGCAGGCATGGTGCTGGAGCAATAGCTGAGAGTTTACATCCTGATCCACAAGCAGGAGGCAGAGAGAGAGAGTGGGCCTGGCATGGGCTTTTGAAACCTCACCCCTACCTCAACAAGACCACACCTCCTCCAACAAGGCCACACCTGTAGCTGTAACCAACTGTCTTATTAAATAAGAAACACAGAACCAATGCAAAGAAGAAAGCCAAGAGATCAGAGCTAAGAGCCTTACCACCTGCTGCAGCTAGCCTCTTCAGCCAAGAGACCTCTCCGAAAGGGACCTACTTCCTGTGTGTTTGTCTTTATATAGACTTTCTGTTCTGCGTTCTCATTGTTGTAAACCCAAACACATGACTGCCTCATCACTGCCTGTTGTACAGCCCTCCAGGTCTTCTATGGTTTTGAGATTAAAGGTGTGTGTCTCCAATGCTGGCTGTATCCTTGACCACACAGAGATCTACCTAGCTCTTCTACCAAGTGCTGGGATTAAAGGCGTGCGCCACGAACACCCAGCTCTGCTATGACTTGCTATTAGCTCTGACCCCCAAGCAACTTTATTAACATACAAATAAAATCACATTTCAGTAATCCTTTCCAAATGCTTCCATTAACTGGGGACCAAGCATTCAAGCATTCTTATGGGCGCTGTTCTCATTCAAACCACCATACTACGTTTAAGAATGTTAGTGAAACTCAGTTCCTCACCCAGAGACACAGCTCCTGTTATAGTGATTTTCAGTAGCTGTGATCGAATAGACAGACAAAAGAGGTTTAAGGGAGAAAGGGATTATTTTAGCTTAGAGTTCCAGGGCAACGGAGCCCCTCGCAGTGGAGAAAAGTGTGGCTACGGAGGGCTAGGCTGGTTGGTCTCCCTTTGTTAGCGGTCAGAAAAAGCAGAATGAGAACATGAAGTGGAGTTGACTAGAAAACCCCATTAAACTACCTCCTCCAGCAAAGCTACCCCTCTCCAAGGTGCCGCAACCAACTCAAACAGTGCCACCCACCGAAGACGAGGCGTTCAAACGCACGAGCCCGTGCGGGACACGACACACTCAATCACGACAGCTCCTTTACCACCTTCCTGGGGCTCCCGAGATTGCCCAGTGTAGGAGAAGGAGACTGTGGAGAGGGCAGCTTAGTGTGAGTTGTGGGGATGCCAGCTCACCACTCCTGCCTGCCCTCATTCCTGCCTGCCCTTACCTTCGGTTTCTGCTGGCCTGCTGTGGGAACAGGCATTGGCTTACATGAGAAGTGTCTCAGGGGAGCCCAGGCTGGGGCAGAATGGCAGCCGGGTCCACAGCTCAGGCTCCAACCTAGAGCATCCTCAACTAATCGACAGTAAAGTGTACAGGCTGCTGCCATTCCTTGCCTCCCGAAAGGGCCGACTGTGGGACTGAGTGTGCTTTGGCATCAAGAGTCCCCTAGGATTAAGCCTCCAGTAGCCACACCGGTCGCTCAGAAAATAGCCACCTTCACTGGCTGGCTGTCCTTGTCTGCTGCACTTCTCTATGTCTGTAACTGGGTTCTGTGGGAAACACTTCCCAATATCATCAGAGTACACTTGAACCATTGCGGGCCTCTGGAAGCAGTCCAACTCAGAGCCCTCTGCAGATTTCTTTGTTCTTAAGCGTGAAGTGAGTATGCCCGGGAGCTTGTTGGGCACATGATTAAAGAACAGAGAATATGGGTGTCCTTTAAACTCAAAGCACTAAACTGGCTCGGTAGGGCTTTTGTTTTTGGTCAGAGTTCTGTTTACAGTTCAAGGAACACAGAGGCTTTCCAGAAACAGGTCTGTGTGTTCTGTAAATTGTCCATACCCCTAGGGCAGGGGGACAGGGTTGCCTCTTCAGAGGATGCTTGTTTCTGGGACGCCTCTGAGACCCTTTTAAACTGCACACTCCTGTCCTATGGCCAACCTTCCCGAGGGTATTGTTGCCATGGCTGGAGAAAAAAATGAGATTGTAGATGAAGGCAGAATGTCACTTCCCAAGGTGATGTTGTCTAGGGACGGTCAAGGTCAACATGCCTGGACCCAGCTCATAGCCATCTTGTCTGGCCAGTCCTTCAAATTCCCTCTCCTCTATAGATCACTCTTGAGAAGGGTGGGTGAGGCATGTTCTGGAACATTTTGGTTGTCTTTAATTGCATTAGGAACCCTAAAAGAGAGTACTATGTGAGATGACTTAAGAGTCAGTGTGGCGGGGGAGTCATTTTGCAGAGAGTGCCCAGCTAACACACAGGGCTTAACAAATGGGTCAGCCCGAACCACAGCATGGGCTCCTGACTGGTGTGGCCAGCTCTGCCAATTATTCCTTGCTTTCCAGCTTGGGGGAAGCCAGTGATTTATTCTGGGGACACTGAAGAGACTCCTGGAATTGAATGAGCTCTTGTGGCTGTGGCAGTAATGAGGCCGAGCCTGTGAGACAGACGCCTGGCACCGAGGACTGAGCTCTGAGTATCCTTGCCAGGGAGGTGAGTCTGCCCCTGAGCACAGCAAGCCAACACACTTGACAAAAACATTCATTTCCTCCAGTTCTCTAAAATAGCAGCTGGAATGACCTGTCCGTTTATTTATTTGTTTATCTTTACAAGTCAGTTTAGCCACAGTGTGGGGGAGAGCAAATGGATTCTTCTGTGGAACAGAGTAGATACCCCAGTCCGACAAAGCAGCCACCAGCGTGTCTGAGGATCCTCCTCAGAGTGATGGTCAGCATTCACAGTGTCCTCTGTGTGTCTCAATGCCTGCAGTGGACCAGGGAGGCTGGTCAGTGAGGTCTGAGGTCAATGACACTGTGGCCATGGCATGACTAGAGAGACCAGCACCTGGACTCAGGCATACCCAGTGATTGTTGCCTCAAAGCCCAACATCCCATTGCTACCTTAGGAGATGCTTATCCTCGGGGGTGAAGCTCCTGGGGTGACGGCTATGGGAGTGGGGGCAGCCATTCTGGAGGCCCCTTGATTGAGCCCAATCTTATTGGCCTCATCTGCTAACGTTCGGATCCCCAGTGGGGCATCAGTGTTGGTGTGGATGAATTGCAACCCCCTAAACTTCAGGATTCATACTGCAGTCCTTACCGGGGCTTGGGATCTAAGAATGTGAGCTGATTTGGAAGGCAAATCTCGTGCAAAGGTTGTGAGGTTGAAGGTCACTTACCGTCGGGTCAATGCTTCAGCTCAGTTGGGTCATGCTCTTCTAAGAGGGAGACATGTAGAGACAAGGACACAAGGAGGGAGGAAGATGTGAAAGAGGGCCCGAAGATTGCCACATTGCTCCTCCAGGTGCTCAGGAGCCAATTTGCAGACCGCCCCCCCATTTAGCTCCAAGGTCTAGAACTGCGGGACAACTCATTTCTATTGGGTTCAAGCCTGTCTGTCTGTGATAACAGCAGCTGTAAGAGACAAAAGCATGCAGATACCATTTTCCTCATTGTATGGACCGAGGCCCAGAGAGTCAGGGGCTTTATGAAGCCTGCAGAGAGTATGCTAGGCACTGTGGGACCCATGCCTAGAAGTTAGCCATATGTCAGCCCCAAGGTGCTGGGCCAGTTTTCTCCCAATGGGTGATCTCCGGGCTGCCAGGGGTTTCCTGCCAACAGCCTTTTTCTTTACTCAGAGCTTGGAACCCCATTTATTATTGTAAAATTACAAACTACACAGAATTTAGTGCCTAGAATTCACTCCCCCGGCTTTCAAAAATCACTCTAGCGAAGTATGTTTGGCATTTAAGAAGCTCTACCCATTTACCGTCTACTGCTCTCAATTTGCGGATGAGTTAACACACACATAGAAATTACCATTATCTGAGGAATAAGCAAATCCATCATCAGCCTTGATTTCCTCCAGCCTCACCAGCAATGTTTTTGTTTTACGATGAAATACTGAAAGGCAAGGAGATGGCTCACTGGGTAGTGTCCCCACACAGGAGGATCCAAATTCAGATCCCCAGGACCTATGAGAAAACAAAACAGGCACTGTCCTTGCCCCTCACCGACGCAAGGGTGGTGGTGGTGATGGTGGGGTGTGATGCCAGGAGAACCATCCCGCCCTTCACAGGAAAACTTGCCCCACCTCTCATGGGATAGCTGGCCCCACCCATCACAGAAGAACTGGCCCCGCCCCTCATGGGAGAACTGGCCCCGCCCCTCAGGAGAGCTGGCCCGGCCTCCCACTAGCCTGCAACCCTGCAGTGCACAGGATGGTGAGCCTGCGCACAGGAGAGCTAACCCCGCCCTGCTCTGGCCTCCACAAGGCTCTCCTCAGCTGGTGGCTTCTGGAGCACATGCAGGCAGGGAAGGACTCATGGGACTGCACACTGACCGTGCTCCAGTGAACATATGGACAACACAAGATGGACTTTGGGTTTTTTTGAGGGTAGGGTTACAGGGTTGAGGGAAAGACATGGGGAGACTGAGGTGAATGTGATTGGGGCGTATGATGTGAGATTCCCAAATAATAATAATCATCATAAATAAAAATCACCGTGGCATATATGTGCCTTCATACACATATGTATGCAAATAAATCAGTACATGCCAAAAAGCGTTTTTTTTGTTTTGTTTTGTTTTGTTTTTAATGTCAGGCAAAGGTCGGGGAGGTAGGCAGATCCATGAAAGTCATTGGTCAGCCAGCCTAGTCTACCCTGAGCTCCAGGTTCACTGTCTCAAAGAGTAAAGGTAAAGAGCAGTCAAGGAAAACACTCACCTTGAGTTTGGTCTGTTGCCTACATGTATGTCCACGTGTATGCGGACACACACGTACACAGATGCACATACACACCCCTAACTCAAAAGAAAAAATACTTAACAAGAGATTTACTGTCATATCATAAAGCATTATTGGCAATCTTCCTTTTAATTAATATTTTAGCACTGGGAATTGTACATTGACCCTTCTCCATACTCCATAAGACAACAGTCAGAGTCTCGGTGTGTGAATTCTGTGCGCCAGGATCACTCCTGGCTCCACCACACATCGCTAAACATTTTGGGGAGCCACATTTTTTTTTTGTTTCTTTTAATATGAAGTGTGGCTTCCTAGAATTCCCGGTAACCATAGAAAAGCCAACTGCTGCCATTTTAACTAACATTATTATGATTTTTTAAAAGTATGTGTTTGAGTGTTTAGCCTCCACGTATGTCTGTGCACCATGCACATGCCTGGCTTCTTCCAGAAAAGGGGATCTGTAGCAGGAATCTTCAATGGTCTTATTCATAAGAACAAACCTGGAGCCAGGTATTGGGGTGAATGCTGGAAGATCAGAGAAGCAGAACAAGCCACAGTTACCTCACCTTGCCAATTCCTCGGCTGATCCTGTTTCCTCAGACTGGAAGCCTCTGAGTCCTCATCCAGAATGGGTCTCAGCTGAACTGTTGCTCAAAAGCCTAAAAGCTTAACCAGCCAAATGCTTCTAGTTCCTGGTCCTCATGCCTTATGTACCTTTCTGCTTTCTGCCATCACTCCCTGGGATTAAAGGCTCTCTTCGTGGGATTACAGGAGTGTGTCACCATGCCTGGCTGTTTCCAGTGTGGCTTTAAACTCAGAGATCCAGAGGGATTTCTGCCTCTGGACTGCTAGGATTAAAGGCATGTGCTACCACCGCCTAACCTCTATGTTTAATATTGTGGCTGTTCTGTCTCTGACCCCAGATAAGTTTATTAGCGTGCATAATATTTTGGGGAACACAATACCACCACAGGGATCTGGTCTCCTGGAACTACAGTTAAAGATGGCTGTGAGCTGCCCTGTGGGTGCTGGGAATCGAACCTGGGTCCTTTGAAAGAGCAGCCAGTGCTCTAACCACTGAGCCCTCTCTCCAGCCCCTACCTCCTCTAGGCTTCCCACTGTCTTTTTGCCTGTTTTTTATTGCAGGCGCTGTCATTGGCTGGATTCAGCAGCTGGATTTAGCCATTCACCAGGAAGTCACATGTGTTCCTCTGGGGACAGAGGTACAGAATTCCCCCGAGCCCCCTCCCATTTCCAAGCCTGGAACCCTTGCCTGGTCTGCTATTGCTCCAGCTGTCTGGTTTCTTGAGACTGGCTATTGTCTTTGGCACTTGGGGCCTGGTCATGGTTGTGGGGAATGTCATGGGTGGGGACGCCGTGGCCAGCCGTTCTACTGGAGATGGTAATTCCCCATGTGGTTCAGCCCAGACCCACAGGAAGGGAGAGAAGTAGGGCAAGGTGAGTTTACTCAATGCCCAAAATAAAGCCAGACCCAGAGAGTTCCGTGGACAGCTGACATGCCAGGACTCCTTCTGCAGAGCTAGTGGCAGGAATGGATAAGGAGACAGGAGTCCAGTTCCCAGGTCATCCTGTGCCTGCTCACCACAGGGCGTCCGCCTGAGTCCATAGCTACCCACTAGGCTATCAGCAAGCTGCTAAGGACCACTGAGAGAGCGCATTGAGGGCAAGATGTGTGAAAGGGCGAAGGTCCAAGAGAGCCTTTCTTTTGTGCTGGGATGTAGCCCAGCTGTTAGGGTGCTCGCCCAGCACGCATGAAACCCTGGGTTCCATGGGTTCCATCCTCAGCACCACATAAACGGTGGTCGATGGTTGTATGGCTTCAGAGCTCAGGAGGTAGATGCAGAAGGGACAGATGTTCAAGGCAAGCCTGTGGGCTGGTGAGAGCCCACCTCAGAAAATACAGCAGGATGAGAAGAAAGCTCTGCTTATTAGGGAACTGTCTTGCTCTCAGCAGATCCCCAAGACCCCAGTTGCCTGTCCCTGCTGATGAGACAAGGGGCTGAACGCACCCCATTCCAGCTCTGCCTCGTTTTTCATCTTTCTCGCCTCGCCTGATTTTTTTTTTTTTTTTCTTGATAGTTTGCAAAGCTCAGACATGGCAGGCTGGTTTTATAAGCAGAAAGGCTTGGGGAAGGAGCCCTCTTTTCTACACAGCTTTGGGGGTGAACTGCTCCCTTCATAAGGCTCTTATCGGTCCCGCAGCCTTATGCAAGTGACTGTAAATTAAGCTGATGCCACGGGAACCCTCCCACCTCACTTGAAGCCTCAGCAAAAGCCACGAGTCAGGCAGTTTCTCATCTAGCTTGGTGTCCACCTCCTCTTCTCTGCCACCTCCTCACGCTGAGCAGGGACTGCGGGCAGGCTCCCTTGGCTGCATGGGTGCATGTGTTAAGCTGAGTGACATCGCGCATGCCGAGGGACTTGGCTCACCTGTCAAACTTGGGGAGCTAACCTTTCTTGTTGCTGGGGAATGAAAGTGAAGTTACATAATTTCCTGTCCTCAGCCCCGCCCTCCCTTCGTCTTCATGAGGCTTGTCGTGTGGACGATGCGATCTTCTGCTTTGGTATGACCTTCCGTGTAGGTAGGGCCTGAAGGAATGCAGCCCCAGATGGGTTGTTCTTGTCTTCTTCGCTGACTCTTGCTTCCTGGGACTAGATGCAAGGGTTGGGAGGGCTGTCTTGTCAGTCTCCAGTCTTCCCTGCTCCTTCCGTTTCTTCAGAATGTGGACCAGTGTGTCTGTGATGGTGGCTGTTGGTTTGCACTTGTTCCCTAGGACCACAAGTGACATGACTGCAGGCTGTGGCTCCTGATTGCGTCCCCTCCTAGTCAAGGGCACCAGATGTGCTGTTGAGACCAAGGACTCGGTTCTTTTTTGTGGTTGCACCTAGGCCCATCCCTGCTGTGGGATGTTCTATATGTCCTGTGAGAGCCCGTTCTCGGGTTCCTCGTGGCTTTACCCAGCAGGTCCTCATAGAGATGATCAGGACCACGGGCCTGAGTGCAGGTGTCTGAGATGGTCTGCACTTGGCTGTGCTGGGGGATGGTCTGTATGTCAAGTTGCTCTGATTGGTCAATAAATAAAACCTGATTGGCTAGGCAGGAAGTATAGGCGGGACTAACAGAGAGGAGAAATAAAAGAACAGGAAGGCAAAAGGAGTCACTGCCAGCCGCAGCCATGGCGAGCAGCATGTGAAGATGCCGGTAAGCCAGAGCCATGTGGCAAGGTATAGATTTATGGAAATGGATTAATTTAAGATATAAGAACAGTTAGCAAGAAGCCTGCCACGGCCATACAGTTTGTAAGCAATATAAGTCTCTGTGTTTGCTTGGTTGGGTCTGAGTGGCTGTGGGACTGGCGGGTGACAAAGATTTGTCCTGACTGTGGGCAAGGCAGGAAAACTCTAGCTACACATGCTCCCAGTAGAACCTTCTTGCAGATCTGGGTGTCTAGACAAGGCAATTTTGCGTGACGAATGTGATATGGTGTGGTGGTTTGAATAGGCACCTCCCCCATGGACTCATGTGTTTGAATATTTGATCCTTAGGGGGTGGCACTGTTGGAGGCGGGGCCTCATTGGAGGAAGTGTGGCACTGTGGAGGTAGGCTTTGAGGCCTCGCAAGCTCAAGTCTTGCCAGCGTGTCTCAGTCTTCACTCCTGCTACCTGTGGATCCAGATGTAGAACTCTCAGCTTCTCCAGCACTGTGTCGGCCTGCACGCCGCCATGTCCCGCCATGATGACAATGGACTAAACTTCTGAAACTGTAAACCAGCCCCAGTTAACTTTTGTAAGAGTTCCTATGGCTGTGGTGTCTCTTCACGGCAATACAACACTGACTAAGGCATAATGGCCAGCTGTTGGTTAGTCAAACCCAAGTCCTGATGGTGTCGTGACAGAACCCAGGGGTTCCATCATCCAAGAGGCCGAAGAGCTGTGGGGTGTTGGGGGGATTCACAGCCAACTTCCCTGTGCTTCAGACTCTGACACTGACTCATTTCGTGACATTGGGCTCCCGGTAGGATTCCAGCACCTTAGCGTTCCCATCTTTAAACAATGTGGTTGCAGCATCACAGGGACAGATGGAGGACTTTGCAATTTAGTGGAAACTTAGTAGCTGAGTTGTGGTCAGAGCCGGCTGCTTTTGATGCGCTTGGCTGTTTGCCGAGACTCGCACCAGTAGGGAGACTGTTCACTTCCCAGTACAGC